GTAAGCTCTATCGCAAAAATACCTTAAATAAATGTGGTAGACCATTAAATTTGCTACAATAATGGTTCTTATACTTTTTTCTTACGAACCACCATTCCTGAGATATGGCGATTTCAAACATCGAAAATACTAATATGATCACATACTCGGCCGGTATACATTATAGGAGACTTAATTTAATAAAAATATTGTAATGGGTTTCGCCCATATAAATTGAAACACCTAATGATTTAATTGATTGCGCAGACGTATTCAAAAAAATTGACCCTTCTCCACAAGTCATCATCACAAGTGGAATTCGCTTGCTTCTTGCTATATATGATGCTCCAAAAAATTGATTCAAGTATAGATATTTAACTTTTGTTAAAAATACTCGGAACAATAAAATGGTGCAACTTTCTTGTCTTCCTCCAACATCTGCTTCTGCCTGTCAACACTTATATCGTGTATACTATCAAGTTCAATTGTGGCTAGGCAGTCAACTGAACTTAGAAGACTGGGGTTGGAAATTTATAGATAATACTTTGGAGCCGATTAAAACTTTATATACTAATTGTCAAGGTCAGTCTTGCCCCAATATTGAATTAAATGCAGATGAGGATTTTGATGAGGAGACAACTGATGCATCTGTCATAGATGGTTTTCCAGATATTCCACAATAAGATGAGAAAGAATAAAGCGAAGAAGACATTACTGTTGAAGTATCATTTGAAGATTACCACTCAGATTAAAATTCTCCCAAAATCAACAATAATCCGTTCGACTATAATCATTACCAAGAGCACCGTTTTTTTAAATTAATAGTATAATGTGTCATAAAACTTAACCACAATAGATCGTATACTAGGCCTACAGGGGAAACCACGTTAAAAAAAATCTCACAGGTGGTGCGGAAATGTGTGCATATTATGAAAAATACGAATTTTTCAACTTTTGATATCGCCATATCTCAGGAATGGTGGTTCGTAAGAAAAAAGTATAAGAACCATTATCGTAGAAAATTTAATGGTCTACAACATTTGTTTAAGGTACTTTTGCGATAGCGCTTACCGTTTAGGAGAAATAAGCAAAAAAAAACATATTTTTGACTTTTGACCTTGAATAATTTTTTTAGCAGACGTGGGAAGGGTGGGGATTTTTCAGATATCATTTATAACAGTGTATTTAAGACCTGTACCAATTTTCAGCTCTATGCGAATTAAGGTACATTGAGGCTGAGAGCGTTGACATCGCGTCGCGTTTGCGTCGCGTCCTCATGTCGAAATGGAATCAATTCACTTAACTTAAATTAGACCGTTCAGGTAGACAGCGCCAGCGTCGCGTTTGGCGTTGTGAGTTCAATGGGGCGGACGCGACGCAAACGCGACGCGACGCTCGACGCTCTCAGCCTGAATGTACTTTTATTGTTAATTGAAATGTCTATTTTGACTGGGGTATTAAAATAATATTGAAATCGTAAAAAGTATTTTGTTTTTTTGCTAGTGCAGTTATTGAGACTATAAAACACTCAGGTACGAGGTTTGTGTAATGTAACGCTGTTTCGGGTACTTAAAAAATAAGCGAAAGAGAAATCAAACTAGGCGTCGTGTTGTATTGTGATTTGGGTTCAATGTTAATAAAATTGCCGAAAAAATGTTACCGCGTAAAGGAGAGCGTAAATAGGGCATTGTTGAGTGCAATAACAATACAATCAATTACTCAACTTTCCCGGATATTCAAATCTCCCGAAACAACATTTTATAGTTTCATAGTTTCTCACACCGATTTGATCAAAAACAAAAATTGATTGCAGTAGCAGTTCGACGAAACAAGTCAGTAAACAAAGTGCTCGCTACATAATAAAAAAATTACATAGATATCTACTATGAGAGGATAAAATATAATTTGCAATATTAATGGTATACTTTTATTTAATCAACTAGTGATTAAATGTACAGGGTGGGTCAAATTCGACGCTTTTAAACGGAAACACCCTTTTCTATAGGAGATAGACGAAAACTAATATCGGTGTCTGGAGCTCAATTTTCATCAAAAACATGATGGTGAAAACCTCACATCAATATCTGTTACCGTTTCGGAGTTACGGGGTGTTTTTCAAAACTGTGCATTTTTAACAAATCGCTGTAACTTTTTTGCTATCGAAAATTTTGTATTTCTATTAAAACATTTCCAAAGCACCTTTTTACGTAGAATTTAATGGTTTAAGTATAATTTTTTTAAAATTAATAATTTAAGAGTTATCAACAGAAAAATTGATTTTTTATTAGGGACACCCTCTATATTTTTAATTAACTGAAAATAATTTAAAATTACCTTTCCAAAAATATTGGAAAGACACTTGATATTTTGCTATAATCCCCTTCGAAACACAGAATTTTTAAAAGTTCGCCACTTTTAACTAGTAGGCTTTGGACCCCTTATTGATGATATACCTCTAATGGAACTCGAAAACATATTTTTCCAGCAAGACGACGCACCGGCTCTGAACGCTGAAGTTATTAGCAAATTTTTGCAGCCAATTTCAAGAATATTTGAATACCTAGCTAACCAAGATCCCAGCCGTTGGCCGTCGAGGCCGCCTGACTTAGTGCCCATGGATCTAATCCTATTGATATATTTGCGAAAGAATAAAGGTTCCTTATTCTTCCGTATAATCTAGACAAGAATTAGAAATACTTAGCAGTTATGAGAGGGTATCTTTCACCCCCACTGAGTTAATGAATTACGCGAGAAATGTTCAAAAACTGCCCCGTCTGTCCATAACAGAAGACGGTCGATATGTTGAACACCTATAGCAAAATCTCATGTCTTGGTTTGCTATTTATTTTTATTGTTATTAGATATAGTTTAAATGTGTTGATGTTGGTTAAATATATTTTAAATTGTTATAAAATTCTGCATCTCTCATAGCAAATATTATTTTCGTTTTAATTGATGCTCACAGCTAGAATTTTTTTGCATTACAGCCGGTGCCGTTCAAAGCCTACTTATTTAAAGCGGGCGAATTTTTATATACTCTATATCTCGAGTAGGAATCGAGCAAAATATCAAGTATGTTATATTTTTGGAAAGGTAATTTTAAATTCTTTTCAATAAATTAAAAATATACAGGGTGTCCCCCAAAATCAATTTTTTTGTTAATAATTCTTAAAATATTAATTTTAGATAAATTATACTTAAACCATTAAATTTTACGTAAAAAGGTGCTTTGGAAATGTTTTCATAAAAATACAAAATTTTCCATAGCAAAAGAGTTACAGCGATTTGTTAAAAATGCATATTTTTGAAAAACACCCCATAACTCCGAAACGGTAACAGATATCGATATGCGGTTTTCGCCATCATGTTTTTGACAAAAATTGAGCTCCAGACACCGATATTAGTTTTTGTCTATCTCCTACAGAAAAGGGTGTTTCCATTTAAAAGCGTCGAATTTGACCCACCCTGTACATGAACATCTTCTAAAATTATAATTATGTACCTTTAAAAAAAATCGTTATAGCCGAAATAGCCCCAATTTTGGAAAACCGGTGACTATGTTCGCTACCGTAGTTGAAATCATCTAAAAAGTTTTTTAGCTGGAATAATAAATTATAATACAAGTTATACCTTCTGAGCATATCTAAATATTTACTTTTTTATTTTTATTTTTAGAATTTTCACACAATTAGTATACTCGCTATTAAAACCCGTGTATTTGTATATAGGTACTAGTTGTTTAGGATATTCTCCTATGCTGGCAGCACCGACAGAGAATGCACCAAGCCTATAAGATATTTATCTGCAGTATTTTCTATTAATAAATAATGGTAATTAACCTACTATAATATAATTCTACGTTCTTAAAAATTTGCATAAACAACAAAACTCACCAAAATAAATCAAAACATTTAACCTGGAATTAATATATTACCTATTAATATATTATATCTTAGAGAAGCTATTTCCCATTTTCTCACCGAGAATTGATAAAAAATGTGACAACTGGCCGCAATTTGCTCCTCACTACTCATTATTTTACGAGACGTCTAGCTGGAAGTTCCAGGTAAAATTTATTGAGACAGCTAAATTGCTGAGGTAGCAAAAGTCTTCGCTCTTTATTGCACTCTAAATTAAATTTAACAGGACGACTAGTCTTCAGCGACGTCTTCTGCACATTTAATGTTAATGTTTTTGCTGAGCCGGAGTCGATATCTCGTAACATTCTTAATGTTTTATTTTCTGAAACAAGCTGATGCCGGTCTTTAAGATGTAATTATAATATTGTAGAGGTAGGTTGTAAAAGATAATGTTGATATTACAAGATAAAGTTTGTATTGCATTTTTAAACAAGCTGAATGGCTCATAATAAGGAAATTATTATGATGTACAGTGATAAATTAATTTAATTTGTATAGAATAGTTGAAAAACGTTGTGGTGTATTGGATTTGCAAATAACCTAAAAATAACTATGAATGAATATACTTAAACATGTTAGTTTTAGTTTAAATTAGAATATAAAACCTACCACGTTGCACAGTGCTTCGAACATATGGCTCTAGAGGACAAAAATGCAAAACTTCTCTTTTATTGTAGGCAATTTATTCAAACTAGGTTTATTAGACACAAATGATGAGTACTCTCATTGTACTAAATGATGATGTTCTTAGTCCCACGTTTATGAAAAAAAAATCTTATAAATAATAAAAATGTTGGAGCTGTGTTCCATCTAAGGAAATAATAATTTATAGTATGAAAACGGTGTAAGTAATATATAAATCCCTGTGATAAAAGAGAATTGAAATAACATTAGAATATGATTCCTACAATATAAGCCTTGTGCTATCCGTAAGTATAGTAACACACAACGAGTCCAAAGTAACACAGGTATATTCACAAACAGTAATTAACAATAACTAGTATAATAACAGTAACAAGATCAATAATTAATAACAATCGTAAAATAGCGAACTATATCTGCCGCGATTCGCCCAGAGTGAGTCAACGTTGTTATTGTTTTTCACATCACCGGCTCGGCGTTGTTGCCGGTTCCCCCGGCGGGTTGCCACATTCCGTCCTTTCTTTTCAGCCTCATGGTTATCCTCCCCGGCGGGTCAAGCTCCCTGGAATCGGATGGGACTGGAGTGGCTACTGACGTGGATGCTGTGGGTACAGACGCTTCTTGGGATGGGACTGTTTCTTGGTTACCTGCGGGGACCATCTCTGTAGGATTTGGAGCGACAATTTTCTTGACATGGGCGACATGCCTACGAATTGTTTTTCCATCACCGAAGAGTATCAATTCGTTTCCGTTCCTCTCAATGACGTCGTATTCAACTGAGTTAAACCTTGATGTTAACTTGTGGGGCCGTATTATGTTTTGAATGACCACTTTGTCTCCCGTCCGAATGTAATCTTGTTTCGCACCTCTGCTTTCATCTTCCCTTCTCTTCCCTTTTTTCCTTATTCGCCAAATCTGCATCTTGTGCTTCCTCATCGATGTATTCCCCATGATGTCAACAATCGATGGAATCTTATCACGGATTCTTCTTTGAAACAGAAGTTCTGATGGCGATTTGTCAGTTGTTCCGTGTGGTGTCACGTTATACATCATGATGAATTTCTGAATTTCCGCTTTGTAGTCTTGCTTATTGTTATGGCATATCTGGAGTCTTTTCAGGATCGACCTATTCATATTTTCAACCTCCCCGTTGGCTTGGGGCCAATATGGTGGAGTGTGTATTAGCTTTATGTTGTTCTGATCACAGTAGTCCTTGAATTCCTGGCTGACAAATTGCCTACCGTTATCGGCTCTTATGGACTTAGGTATTCCAAAACGGGAAAATAATTTATCAAGGCACCTTATTATGATAGCTGATGTCGTGCTTTTTAAGAATTGTATGTCCTGGTATCGTGAATAGTAATCAATAACTACTAATATCTGGTCCTGATTAGGCAAGGGCCCCATTAAATCGATAGCGAGACACTGCCAAGGCCCATCGGGAGAAAACGATGTCGCTCCATTGCTGGTGGTTTATTAGGTTGGCCCACTAATAAGCAGTCTCTGCATTGCCTTACAAAGTCCTCCACGTTTTTTGTCGATACCTGGCCACCACACTTTGGATCTCAACCGCCTTTTCATCACACTGGCGCCTGGGTGCCCTTCATGAGCTAACTCCAACACTCTCTGTCGCAGTGATGTCGGTATTACAATTCGACTAGTCCGAAGTAGGATCGGTCCCACAGTCGTTCAAAACGGAATGCAAAATAGGTTTTATCTTTATTTTTCCAGGATTCCTCGGTTGTGGTTTTGCACTGCATAAGCCAAGTCAGCATCTTCAATGCTTCCACTTGAGATCTCTGTTACGGTCATTGCCTTGGGGGCGCCGTTTTCGACTATCCTCCAGATATGTAGATTGTTGTCTTTGTCAAATGTCTGGCCATTGACTGAAAGTTGACACAGCCGGGAAGGAAACAGTCGGCAATGTTCAATTTTCCACTTTGATAAATCACCTTAAATTTAAAAGACTGTAGTCTTAGAACCCAGCGCTCTATTCTTGCTGGTGGTTTAGACGACGGCTTGAAGATGGCTTCCAAGGGTTTATGATCAGTGACCAGTTCGAATTCGAGACCCATCAGGTAATAGTAGAACCTTTCCACTGCCCACACTAATGCAAGGCTCTCCTTTTCCGTTTGCGAGTACCGCCGTTCCGTGCTCGTCAATCCTTTTGCTGGCAAAAGAGATCAGTTTCGGAACTTCCTGCTCAAATTGGATTAACACTGCCCCAAGAGCCACCGGACTAGCATCCGCAATTAAACGTGTTTTCCTCGACGGATCAAGTAGCTCAGAACGGGAGGTTTGGACAAGGCTTGTTTTAATGAATCGAAGCTGCTTTGGTGATTTGGTGTCCAGCGAAATTCTGTATCTTTCTTGGTTAGTTGCCTCAACGGTTCAGTAATAGTCGCCAGGTCTGGAATAAACTTCCCCAAATAGGTGGCTAATCCTAAGAAACTCCGCATCTCTTCTTTCGATGATGGTGGTCGAAACTCCAATATCGATTTAACTTTAGCCTTATCCGCTTCGATTCCCTTGTGCGATAAATGATGCCCTAGAAAGTCAAGTTGTTGAACTCTCTTCATGCATTTGTTTTTATTTAGCAGCACATTATTTTGTTCAAAAACTTGTAAAACATCCTGCAAGCACTTGTCGTGTTCTTGTTCGGTAGCTCCATATACAATAATGTCATCGAGATAGTTAATACAGTTGGTACATCCGCTAAGCATATTTTCAAAAATCCTTTGAAATATTTCTGGTGCTGACGTTACCCCGAACAACAGCCTCTTGTACCGAAACATCCCTCGATGCGTAATAAAAGTCGTTATTGGGCGACTCTCTGGGTCCAGCTCAATTTGATGGTAAGCCCATTCCAAATCCAACCGAGAGAAATAGTTGGCTTTAGCTAACTTAGTCATGATTGTATCAAAAGTTGGAAGGGGATAGTTTTCACGCAAGATTGCTTGATTGGCCCTACGCATATCAATGCAGATTCTAATATCTCCGTCAGCCTTAAAGGTGATGACAATGGGTGATATCCAGGGACTATGACCTTCTACTGGCTCGATTATGTCTCGTTGTAGTGCTTCTTCCAATTTCCGTTGGACTAGTGGTTCGATAGCTATCGGTACACGTCTAAGCGGTTGTTGGACTGGCTTTACTGACTGATCAATGGACAATTGGACTATTACGTTTCGAATTTTCGGAAAAGGTTGAATCTCTACAATTCTGTTTATATCTAGGCCTATTTTCAACACCCCAAGACGTTGAGCCGTTTCTTTCCCTAATATAGATATATCCCCTTGCTTCACAACTAGGAAAGAGGTAATAATTTCTTTCTTGTCCGGGGTCATGATGGTTGTCTCAAACTGCCGTTGAATTTCCAAGGGTTGTCCAACTGCGTAGGATTTCAAAGATGCTTTTACGTCGGATTCCACATTCCATACCACAGCTTCATTGGATTTTAAGTGCTTCCAGTCCGATCCATTGATGATATTGACTTTAGATCCGGAATCAATTAGCAAAGTCACGGGAACTCCACCAACACAGCATTCCATTAGTTCATCTCGCTGGTCAGTCCTTTCCTTTGCCACATTAAGCTTAAAACATTCATAGTTCTTATCCGAGTCTCTATCATTGTTGCCACTTTCTGGATCATCTGGGTTATCGACATATCTAACGCTGGACGAGAACCGCCCTCTTGTTGTACCGGGTATTCGCTGATCGTGGTTGGGGTCGCTTTTGTGACTTCGTGTGACATTTAATGGAAAAATGTCCAACCCGGTCGCATTTATAACACTTAGCTACTTTAGCCGGGCATCTTTCGAAATTAGAGTCATGCCGGACACTTCCACACCTGCCACATGACTTCATAGTAGCGTTTACGTTAATTTTATTAACTGATGACGATGTCGATGGCATTCCTACTGGGTACGCGTCCATAACGTTGGTTTGAGTTTTTATTTGCTCATGTATTTGACAAAGGTCGATAATTTCGGTGAGTGGTCGTTCCTTTTCCAATAGTTTCCTTTTTAGTTCTACTGGAGCCCAATCGTCGATCAATTTGTCCTTGATATTTATTTCTAAAGCCTCTTCACTTGTACTGCCGAAGATGCATTTAGAGGCTTGCTGTCTGACCCTTAGCAGAAATTTGTTAAGTGTTTCTCCTTTATCTGCTTTAATATTCCTAAACGTGTGTCTCTCAAACGTAGAATTTTGGATTGGAGAAAAATACTCTGTTAACTTGCCAACCAAAATATCAAAACTTTCTTCTTCGTCTACGACTGCCCCTGGTATACTGTAGGCTACTTCCTGTAGTTGGCTTCCCCCAGATGTAAAAGCTTATTTCGTTTCCTGGTTTGGCCCGCAATAATTTCAGAGTCAAGATATAGCCGAAAGGATCGTATCCATTTTTGCCATTCATTTCTGATGTTTGCTTTATCAATTGTGTCGCATAAAAAGGGTTTTATTCCTGAAGAGTCTCCCATCATGCTACTCGGCGGTCTTTACCTGCAAGAGATAAACCTTTTTTTTTTACCTATAGCTATGCTACGCAATATGTACTTATGCATCTTCCCCTCTTTCACTTTTTTTTTTACCCAGCAACCATTCGGTTTATGACACTTGAACATCAGACACAAGCATTTCTTTTTTTTTTTAACCCTTGGGAAACAACGTTCTATTCTAAGGGATGCCGCAATATTTATGATGGAAAGTTTCCTTATTATTATTATTATTATTATTATTTTTCCAATTTCCCTTATTTCTACCAAAATTAACACATTATAATTTCCTATTATCTAATCTATTACTTTGATTTAGGGTCGCCACTGCTATTATTCTTTAAAACCATTTGGTGCATCTCCAGCACCTCTTTTGGTATTATCCTACCTATTTATTTTACCACGTAAAATACTGGTGATTTAATTTAGTTTATGTTATCAAAACAACAAGACCTACTTGCCAACTCTGTCACAATTTAATGCGATTTCCTTTTTATTTTTCACAATTTAATGCGAACACTTACGCAATTTAATGCAAATCTTGTCACAATTTAATGCGATCACCATTATAAAGGAATTAAATGCCCTTTCACAATTTAATGCGAACACTTACGCAATTTAATGCAAATCTTGTCACAATTTAATGCGATCACCATTATAAAGCAATTAAATGCCCTTTCACAATTTAATGCAAACACTTACGCAATTTAATGCAAATATGTTGTCACAATCTAATGCGATCACCTTTATAAAGCAATTAAATGCCATTTATTTCACAATTTAATGCAGTTTTAAGCAATTTAATGCAAACTTTCCATCACAATTTAATGCGATTTCCCTAAAATAGACGTCACTAAAAAAACTGCTTGTTTTCTGTTATTTCTTGTTCAAAACTCATAATCCTTACTGTAATTACTGTTGTAATTATATTAACCGGCACACTTAAACGTATCAAAATTTAGTGTTCAATGTAAACAAACCAGAGATTTGGTATTTACCTCCGTCGCCAATTGTGCTATCCGTAAGTATAGTAACACACAACGAGTCCAAAGTAACACAGGTATATTCACAAACAGTAATTAACAATAACTAGTATAATAACAGTAACAAGATCAATAATTAATAACAATCGTAAAATAGCGAACTATATCTGCCGCGATTCGCCCAGAGTGAGTCAACGTTGTTATTGTTTTTCACATCACCGGCTCGGCGTTGTTGCCGGTTCCCCCGGCGGGTTGCCACAAGCCTAATATAAGATAAAAATGTTTTTCTTTAATAAAAAAGAAACATTAATGTTATATTTAATAAAAAAAAACTTAAGATACTATAAATTTACTTTAGGACAACAAAATGCATAGATCGTAACTACTCTGATTCAGAAGAATCACTGCTGACAGAATCTTCCAAATTTATAGTATCCAAATCACAGGTAGATGAAGTATCCTCACATATAAGATATTTCTGTACATCATTTTCTAATATGTTACTTTTTCGCGTTGTTACCGTTCTTTTTGTTGGTATGAGGGGTTCGGATATTAATAGTTACCTCTTTAATAGACCATATCCATATATTATTTTTTCTTTTTCTTGGGTATGAGGTTTTATAATAAATTGAAAGATGGAAACTTTTTTTATTCGTTTCGCTCCAACATAGTGGGCTACTTCAGGCACAAGTGGTGTCTCATTTGACTGGAAGGTTCATCAATATCTAATAAAGAACACATTTTTTGAAATACAAATAATTTTGAGTTCTTGTCCTTATGATCAAGCCAAGTATTAACCAGATCGGCATTGCTTATCAATTTTACTCCATCTGAAAAGTATTATAAAATAAAGTTCGTCGCAAGCAGACGCAGGTGAACTATACAAAAATTAAAAGTGTATGAATATGACAACAAAAATATTCAATAA